GGACTTGGGTATTCATCCTTGTTCATTACACCTGCTCTCAGTTTTCGCCAGGATAATCCAAGGCGCATTTGGCAAATAAGAAAACGTGGGAAGGGCACGCCTGAACCACAGCACTCCCCGTAGCTTCTAGTGAAAGATACAGAAAGAAACTGTATATATAAAACGGGGGTGGGGGGGGAATGAATCTGGAATTTGACTGGAATCAATTTAAATTCCAGTGGAGAGATTAGATGCTCCTTCTGGCTTCTGAACTGCAGGAACAGCTCACACCCAAGAACGGTGTGTCTCCATTATAAATGTATAGTGGGTCATTTGTCAGGGATCCCTAGGACAGTGGTGGCGAACCTATGGCACTCAGAGCCCTCTCTGGGGGCACGCGTGCCACCGCCCCAGCCAGGCCCAGACCATCATTAAAGTGTCGAATTCTCTGCCAAATAATTTTAAGTCAATGAAAGCATTTGGGATTGCTTTCCTTACTTTGTTTGGATCATCTTAAGTTAATGTGTGAGTTGTTCTTTCTAAAGTAAAACCTCAGTATTCAGGTTAAATTGCCGTGTTGGCACTTTGCGATAAATAAGTGGGTTTTGGGTCGCAGTTTGGGCACTCGGTCTCTAAAAGGTTCGCCATCACTGCCCTAGGAGAACCTGGGACTTGTGGAAACATCTACGATGAAGGGGCAGGGGTACAAGAGAGAGGTCTTCCCTCCTGCGCAAACATCCCTAGGGTTCTGTGGGGGTCAAACTGACAGCTGTACCGCTCTGAAACTGGTTTCCCTTCATCTCAGTAAACAAGTGGCAAGTGATAAGAGTAGATACGGGCCCAGTTACTTCGTAAAGGACTACAGCTTGGCTTTCCAGCAATAAGAATCAAACCCTCCAAGAGATATTCAGAAGCTAACTTCAGAGATCGCTGGCATTTTGGAGAGGAAGGGTCTGAGTCCAGTGAGTTCAAAGATCAACGAGATTCCCAGGGTATGAGATTTGGAAGGCCAAAGCTCCCTTCGTCAGGCTCTTGAAAACTTACAGCCTGTAAAACCTTGTTGGTCTTTAAGGTGCTACCAGACTCGAATCTTGCGCTTCTGCGGCAGACCAGCATGGCGACCCACCCGAAACTGGATTACCTGCAGAGTCCCTAAAAACTTGAATCCATTTCTGCGTTGGTGAGTTGCTGGCTCCCATCCATCCATGGAGGGGGAGCTATTTCACTCTCCAACGCTGAGGAAGCACCTACTGGGTGTCCATCAAGGAACAATACACGTTTTCGGGTGCCCCAGCAGCGCCCTCGGCAGCTCTACAGTTTACTGGGGTGGTGGCTGGCTATGGCCGGAAAGGACCCAAAGGCCCTGTGACTGGGGAACTATTTCCATGTCGATCCAGTTGGGAATACACAGCGATGGGTTTTACCGCATGCCCAGCAGAAGCCATGACCAAGGGAACCGCTTGCAGCTGGGCCTGCCGTCTGCACTCTCCGTGGCCCTGTGGTATCCAACTCCCAAGCTCAGTGATGGGCAGAGTAGACCGTGCGTGGCACTTCAGAGTCCAGCATTTCTCAGCCCCAGATACCAAAAGGTGAGCGAAGCATAGGCATGGCGGACGCTCGTATAATCTGACACAGAACAAGACCTCTTCTTACAGGTCAAAAGCCAGGGCATTTCAGATTCTCCTCTAGAACAGGAGGCCCTCAACGCATATGGAACTGATGAAAGACGTCTCACTGCTGAATCAGCCCTACCTACGATAGATCCATTCTGGGCTTCTGCACATTTGTTGAATGTGATGTACCCACTTCCTGAGCCCCCTGCCTGTCCTCCTCAATACAAAAGGGAAGCCGTGTAGACCACCACCACAAATACAGGGTCTGACTATCCAGGCATATGTCCTAAGGGGGAGAAGGGGAAGCTGTCAGCCCCACAAAGGAAATAATGAGAAGAACCAACTACGAAAAAGCACAAGCAAATCTAAATAAACTTTTATACAGGGATTTATAATTTTCCAATATTTTATAGTTTTGTCTCACCGGAGGAACACATTTGTACTTGTATACCAGAGATCTATGACGGCACTGCACAACTGGAAGCCTGTCACTTTTTCATGGATTCTGTCCTTGAATTATTTACCTCACAGAGTCATTTATGGACTAATGATATTGTATTATCATGTAACCACGATTTATGGGAATTTGTTCCAGTTGTTGACACTATAATAGTGACTGTACATTGTGGCAAGATGATTATTGCATACAAAACATTAATACGGCTTTGATACAGCTTCTGAAACACTGTAAACAAAAGACTGAGACAAATTTATAAAACACTAGAAAACTATCCATTTTGGTGTAAAGGTTTATTTAGGCTTATCTGTGGGTGCTTTTTCGTAGTTGGTTCTTCTCGTTATTCCTGTATTATTCAGCCACGGTCCTCTTTACTGTTGGCCCAACAAAGGAACTGGCTTAAGCTAATAACCTGCTGAGAATAATGTGGCTGCCAGTAAGACAGCTGCTTGTTTTGAACAATGCAAAGGGGCCACTTACTCCCACAAACCCCAAGTGCATGTTATTTCCCTCAACGTCCACTCATTACACTGTCAACTCATTTTTATTGTTGTTGTTTTAAACCAATCGCTGCCAGCCAACATTTTAGGTTGCCCCTCCCCTGGCTCATCCAGCCCTCAGAGGGGAAAGTGCTCTACCTAAGCGCAACATAAGATGCTCTCGTTAGCACTCTGCATCCGGCTTGCCTCGTCCTCCCATTGGGCCCTCAAGCATCCTTCGCTTGATATAGGTGCCAAGAGGGAAGGCCTAGCTGGAGGAAAAAAAGAACCCCCCCCGCCCCATTTTTTTTTTACAAGGATACAAAAGGGAAAGGAGGAGCCCACCTTGAGAAGGTGCCACGCAAGACAAAGAAAAGATACCCTGAGAAAGCTCACAGCTTACAAGCCAGTGGAAGCAAGAATGAAAATGCCACGCTGGGGGTGGGGTGGGGTGGGCAGGGGAAAGAGAACCACCGCCGAAGTGTAATAAATTATTGTTTTTTAATCTAGAAAAGCTTTTGATAGAGAGCAGTAAAATAAACATTTAAGAAGGGAAATAAATTATTTTCATTTACACTCCCCCCCCGCCCCCAATGCACCTCCTTAGGAGCAAGGTGTGGAATTAAACTTGGGGGCAGGCATACCAGAGATTTACCACCTGAAGTCCGCCGTAACATAGTTTAACAGCTTGTTTTAATGCAAACCCCCCCCAAAGAAAAAGATCGAAATGATCTCAAAACAGACTCAAAAATGTTCCTAGTCAGGGGTCGCTGCTTGAGGATGGACCAAAAGGTCGCTTTTGGACCTTGGACCAAAAGCTCTCGTCTCAAGCATTATAAATGCAATTTGAAGCATTCGTGTCCCTGGAACCCATTTTGCCCAGGACTGATCTTGGCACTAGCATAGAATCTGGAACTCTCAGATTAATGTACACTGTCGAGACAAATATAGGCATTGCATTCTTACTCTGACCTGTAAGCGCGGAGATAGGCACTGATGCTTTTGGTTGGCAACGTGGGTGTGTAGAAATACAAAAGCACCTGCCTACATACACGCATTTCCCACAAACAAACAGTGGTGCTGCAAATGGCCTCTTCAGGGAATGGAAACCCCAAACCCATGCATATCTGTATGCACGTACGTGTACACACGCAAGTACATAAAACGCACAAGAAACCCACCAGTCAGCCTGGCTTCCAGTCCACTACTTTTCACACAGCTGAGCTGCAATCATGACCCAAAATATGGCTTATATTATGAGCAGGCCGGTTGGACGGTTGTTTGGAAGAATCAGAGGCAGAAGTGTTGGCTATCGAGAGCAGAGGTGAGATGGCCGAACCGTCCGGAGGAAGAGCTGTGGCTATCTCTGGGAACAAAGAAGTCAAATTAAAATTGGACAAGTGCGATGAATTGGCCATGTGCATCGGGGCCATGTCCGTCAGAAGAGGGAAACTCGGCTGGGCAAAGCCCACTGGTCTGGGAGGAGACAAGATGGAGCCAAACCGATTGTTCAGACCTCCGCCATTGGGCTTCTCTGTGCCTGGATTAGGAAACATCTGATTGGGAAAATAAGGAATTGAAATGTCATTGGACAGGGGGGGATGAGCAGGAGAATATGGTGGGTAGAAGGATGGCAGCGTATTTTGGGGGTCTACTGGAATCAGGGCTGGCGTTCGAGTAGCACTGGACTGAGTCACCGGCGGAATGAAGGATGCATTGGCGTTTATTGGGGGGTTCATCCCGCCCTCTGGAATAAAAGGGAAGCCAAAATTTTGAGACAAACTGTGCTGATCTGGAGCGGCACTATCATTAGACACCTGAGGGCCGTCAGGCATGAATCGCACAATGCCACCTCTTTTCTCCAGGGTAGGCTGCTGCCGTCCGAGGATCATACTGCTGCTGGAAGGCAAAGGAAGGTGGGGGACGCATTCAAACGCATTCCCGTGTCTCTGGTTTCCAGACCGATTCCTTTCTGCCTGACGGATTTTAGAACCGCCGTTCTCCTGCAGCGGATGCCTTGAGCGCTGCGTGACGGAAGAATTCGGCTGACGAACTGACGGCGGGACTTGCTCAGCATTCCCACGAGAGACTGGCGGGTGGGGAAGGGCCGGCCGGACGCCTCCGTGCACATTGCTCGAAACGGGTGTATTCATGGGACCTTTGCCTCCGTGGCTCTCTGTCATTCTCATGGGATTCGTCTTTTGAATCGAAACGCTGGGGCTCGTGTTGCGGCCCTGAATATCTCCGGAAGACGAAGAGCTTGAAAAGGGAATATTTAAAGAATTGCTCCTGTTATTAATAGCACCAAGGGACATGTCGCAACTTTCCCTATTCTGCCCTTCACCATCTCTTCGAATATGGATGTTCTCCCTTGCTGGAGGACAGTTATACTCAATGATGGAAGAAGCACCACACTGTGGATTCCTCTGATGTTCCGAAATTAATCGCTGGCCTCCGCCTGATTGATCTCCGAGATGAGGGGCAAGTAAACTCTGCATGAAGCTTTGGTGGCAAGTATTGTCATTGTCCCGGGAGGGAGGGAGAGGGGTGCCCGTTGAAATCCCTTGAACCGGTGGATAGGATAATCTTTTCTGCCTGTCTATGGACGGTCCAGCATTCTGAGCTATTCGGAAAGCCTGAGTCTGCATACCCCTGAGGGATGGCATCGAATTACCTATATCACTGTTCCTAGAGGACTGCACCTCAAAGTTGCCACCAGGCTGCTGGTTAGTCCCACTTGGCTTGAACGTCTGGCACTCAGATAGCCTTTGAACCTCCGACCCGACAGTGTGGTCTATAGACATATGACCTTGCATGTTATGAATCGCCAAGCCTTTATTCCTGGACACGTCGAGGTAATTTCTCATTTCGAGCTGGTCTGGAACTCTTGAGCTCTGAATGGATAGTCCTATTCTCTGCTCGGAATTAGAGGGGGATTTCCCAATCAGTGCCTCCGCAGAGTAACTGCTAACCCGGTTTCTTTCTTGCCTGTGCGGGGCACAAGTCATATCTGACGGCCTGGTGACGATACTGGGCTGGGACACCATCTGCTGCTCCAAAGCCCTGGAGGTCATCAGCCTCTGCATCTGGCCGTGGCCACCCACATGTTCCGAAGACACTCCCGAGCCTGGCTGTCTGTTGCCCACATCTGGCTGCTGCTGCTGCTGGTGCAGAACATCCGGGTTCAAATGGCTCTGCGGATGGCTGTGGTGGGTCCTAGTACCTGCGGGATTCTCACAACTCTTCTCCGGCTGGGATGGCGCAAAGTGCTGCTGCATTTGCTGGATCTGCGGGTGGTGGGGGTGAGGCTGGCCGCTCTTCTGCCGCGCTTGCTCGTTCCCGTGATGCTTCTGCTGCAAACCGAGCGGAGTGGGCTGGGCTGCTTGGATCAGGCTCCTCTTCTTTTGCATCTGCGCCTCTTGGTGCATGACTCTTTGCTGGTGGACGCTGTGGGCTTGAGAGTGGAGAGAGGCCTCGGTGTGAGGGATGTGGTGCTGGAGCTGGTACAGGTGATGCCTGTCTCTCAGCTGTCCTGCCTGTTGCTGCTGCTGCTGCTGCTTTATGTACAGGTGGTTGCTATGAAGATGGGTCATTCCTTGAGCGGGGGCGTGCTGAAGAGGCGGCAAGTGCTGCTGTCCTGCTTGACCGGGCTGATCCGAGACAGAAACCTGAGGATTACACTGAACTTCGGCTTGCCGCAGAGCTGGGGGCACAAAATTGCCAGCGGGGAATAATCTGCTATGACCAATGTCGGCATGTCCTTGACTGCTTACCGACACTGCCGGATTGGAGGAATTGGTCGGGATCTGACCGACAAGGATTTGCGTCTGGTTAGCAATGTTGTTTGCCTCTTGGCTTAGCAAGGCCATGCCTTCGAGTTGCAGAGGTGCCGTTGAGCACTGCTTCTGTCTTTTCGGAGCGGGCAATGTTGTTTGCCTCTTGGTTTAGCAAGGCCATGCCTTCAAGTTGCAGAGGTGCTGTTGAGCACTGCTTCTGTCTTTTCGGAGCGGAGAGCAGGTGATCGTCCTGAACGGCCCGCTTGGCCGAATCCTTGCGGCTCTCCTGGCTCGGCTGCTTCAAGTGCGGCTCGCGCATCTGACTAGGAGCCTGCATGGCATTCGTCCGAAGGGCAGACAGCTGTTCTGGAGTGTATTCTGTAATGAGGGCCGGAGACCGCCCTGGGGACTGGCTCATGTACGAAGCGGCAGGCATTGCGGGCGTCCCTGATGCAGGGACAGTTGCTTGATCTGAAGACAAAGGCAAACCCGAGCAACTTGCAGGCGGGTGGATGATGCAGCTTTGGTGGATAAGGTTATTGACACTCAGGCTCGATGCACTCGAAGACTGGGAGGCTAGCAAATCCGCGCTGGACATTTCCACTCTCAGAGAACAGCCCTGTTTCTCGGCTGACCTATCAATGTTCATTTGCGCTGAACTCTGGGCGCCAAAGCTGCTCGGCGCTGTTTCTATTTGGGGGGCGTCTTTAACTGTGTGTGACTTGAAAGGTGTTTCTCTTCCTAGAGATGCTACGTCCTCACCCTTGGGAGCAGCACTCTGGGCCACGGCCACGGCACCTTTCGCAAGGGTCTCTTGATCGAAAATGGCCCTTGCCGCTAGAGCGACGATATCGGTTTGCTCAGAAAATGTGCAGCTGTTACATGTATTTACGGAAGTGCTGCTGGGAACACTCTCCCGACACGTGTCTGGCAACATGGACGCCACAGAGAAGCCACAGCTGCTCCCTGAGCTGGTTGACATGGGCGAGTCTGTTTGCCTGTTGGCGACTACCCCCTCTGGTTCAGCGGAGCAGGAATGAGACGGTGTCAGATTTCCCCCTTCAGTGCTCATCAGTAAGAGTTCCTCTTGTTTCCCCACCAAATCATCACTGGAGTCTATAACCGGTTTGGCGCTTTGGGCAGAGAAATCAGAGTGTGCCACCTGGACCGGGAAGGTTTTTTGTACAGCGTCTCCTTCTTTACTGAGTTCAGAGAGCATCTTGGTTAGACCTTGACCTTCTAGCAGATCTGTGGCTTGAATGGCAATAGAGCAATCTTGCCCCGCCCTGCAGTCCTCCGAAGCCTCTGCTCCAGGAATGCGCTCAACAGGTGCCCCATTATTTGTTACAGACAACCCAGAGATCTGAGATGTTGTCGTAGGCAAGTCAGAAAATGCCGAAGGGCTGGTGGAAGCGCACTGGGATGGCTCAGCTAACTGGGAATTTGTTGCTGAGTTATTAGCCTGAGGTCTACTCGTCTGAAGAGATGGAGACACGGTGTCTTGGGGATCCGGAGCCACCGCTGTGAACTGCCCAGGAGGAGATGACCTCGGCCCTGCAGCTGCATTCAGATCAGGTGCCGGAGCAGACACCGCACAATGTTCAGCTCTCTCTTTGGGATGAGACTCAGAAGCGCTGGCATCATTTGGTGCCCCCCTGTCGCTGAACGGCGGCAGAGCTAAGCTTCGCAACGCCGCGCCGGCAGGCACGTTTTCAAGCAAGAGGCCGCTTGCCGGACGCTCGGGTGCTGCTTCCACAGCCCCACCATCGAGCTTCTTGGCGTCTTTGCCGCAAGGATTCGTCCGACACGCCAGGTTGACACTGGCAGCTGAACATTTCTTAGAGCTGGGTTTCTTGCTAGGCCGCTTGGGGCCCAGACTGGAGAGCAGATCCCCAGAAGGTTTCGGCTGGGAGTCATCCCCTGGCTGTGAAACGCTGGTCAAGAGACTGTTCTCCGCCGTCGAAGAGGGCGTGGCGGGGGTCGCTGCCAGCAGAACGCGGTCGCTCGGCGCAGCTTGGCTGCTGGCCATGGTCGGATTGGCAGGCTGCGTGACGGGCAGCTGTAGGCAGCTCTGACCGGCCATCTGAGATATGCTTTGATTGAGGTGAGCGAGAGCACCAAAGGTGTTGAGGGCGACGTTGGTGTTGGGGTCCTCACTGGTGGTCGGCTGGATAATTTGCATAGGGGCCTGATCTGAAGCTCCGGAGCAGGACTTGACGGGCTTCAGAGCAAACAACTGCCCGTTCAGAGAAACCGTCTGCGGAAGCTGCTGGTTGTTCGACACCGCGACGGAAAACGTCTGCGTCGAGCTAGAAGACGAGGAAGAGGACGGCCTGGGTAAGATGTGGACAAGGTGCTTCCCACCGAACGTGTGAGGACCAGAAGCGTTGGGGACGGGGTTGCTGGCGCTCCCTGCGGGAGAGGCACCGTTCACGGGCACCCTAACGGGTGGCGGGGGAGGTGGCGGGGCGGAGAAGAGGGAGAGCGGGTTCTGGTTGGCGGTCTGTATGATCACGATCTGTTGGCTAACGGCTTGGCTGGGAACATTGGCTCTCAACACGGGCGGGCACGGGGCGGCACTGGGGGGCTGGAGAATGATGACGTTTTGATTGGCAGGCGGGGCGGCGACAGCCGAGCCCACGGGCTGGGCCATCTGGATCACCTGCATGGCTGGATTCAACGGGAGAAGGCTGCCTGCAAGCTGGGCGAGAACCTGCGTCTTTGCGACTAGCGGCTGCATAGGTAAGGCTGGGCAGGAAGGCAAAGTGACCACGATCTGCTCAGGCGTCTGCTCGTCCACAGGCGGAGGATTGCTCAAAGTAGCGCTGGTGGCCGAGCACCTGTTAGGAACGCAAGCTGTCGCGCCGGCGGCATGAACTGGCTCGTTTGACAAGCCCGCCATCACGCTGGATGGAGCGTGGTTTAGAGGCTGGACGGTATTCCCCGCGAGTTGCAAAGTAGTCCATGTCGTCTGGGTGTTCCCCGCCGAGGTGATGCGTGACAGGCTACCGATGTTTTTGGAGCCCGGAGTGCCGATGGCTGAAGAGCTGGGGAACGGCCACTTTTCTAAAGTGGTGGCAGGCAAAGGGTTGAGTTCGGTGACGGCCCTTGCCGCTTCCGCGGCAGACGTTGCAGGCACTCCACTGCCACTTCTCCCATGTGGACTTCTGCAGACGCTTCCTGGTGGAAAGCCATCAACAACGGACAATCTGGTGGAGGGAATACAGGTGGGATCGGGTACGGAAGCACCACAGCTTTCCTGGGACATACTCCTTGAATCCTCTTCAGAGGTCACCACTGCTAGTTCAGTATTTGGTACGTCCGTATCAGCCCGGGAGGAAAGGCTGATGTTGGGCCCACCGGTTTCCTTGAGTAACCTGGAACTCTCTTGTCCATTTTTAGGTTTGGTGGCGGCAACCTCCCCTTGCAGTGAGTTCTGCAGTTCAGGGGGCATCTTTGCTGGTTCTGACGCATTCTGGGAGCTAGCCGCACTGGTGGCCATAAGCACACGCTGCTCATTCTCAGAGGTAGAGGGCTCGAGAATTTTCTTGGCTAGATTTGGTAGACCTGGCGTCAATGGTGGAACTGACGTCTCAACCCCTGACTTGATTTCTGTGGAGTAGATACCAGAAAGGGTGACAGGAGTGACAAGATTGCAAGTTCTCTGGACAGGGACAACATTAGCCGTTTGCTTTGGTAAGTTATGACTGATGTTAAAGGTTATTCCTTGGACTGATGTCCCCTGGTTATTTCCACCCAGTTGACTCCCATTGGAATAGACAATGATGTTCTTCTGCACCTGGTCGCCGGGGATAACCACCGAGACTTTCGCATTGCTGAGGTTTCCTTTCTTTTTTTGCACCTGATCACTGGGGATCACAACGGAAACTTTTGCATTTTTGAGATTCCCTTTCCAGTGGATGGTGGGGTCGTCGTAAAGGCAAATGTCGTTGGCTTTCAACAATGCGATGTAGCGCGCATTTTCTTTCTGAATGTCGTCCAGTTGGACCCGCAGCTTCTTTATTTCTTCTGCTGCAAAACAATTTTTTTTAAAAAACAACGTTATTCAACTCACTGGTCAAGGATCCTGGAAAAACTGTACTGCACCTAAAGGCAGTAATCCCTAATGAGTGTTCCCTCTAAGCTGAGCTAGTGTGAGCTAGATCACAGACTTTCAGCCTCCG